CGGGGGTTTCCCGTCGCTGCTCGGCTTTTCTGACTCCTTCAGAAATTATATCTGATCAGACGAAGGGATCGATACGCAAATCGTGTTCCGTCGCCATCGCTCGCCCGGTACACAGGCAGCTTGTACACATCACCTGCCAAAGCACAAAGCATGCAGAGTCATGTCAACAACCATTACAGCAGCCTTCGGGCAGAATTATTATTAGTCCTTATTATTATTTTAATTGTTAATTAATATTCCTATTTTCTTACTATTTTATTTATTGTTCTTTTATTATTATTATTTAGTAAGGGGGTTAGTAATTGCAAAGGCCTTCAGACATCCTCGACATGACCGGCCAGGCGGCCCCTGATAAATTCAGAGCTTTTATTTCTTTTTCTTTTTTTTTTTTTCTTTTTTTTTTTTCCTTTTTCCTTTTTTTTTTTTTTTTTTTTTTTTTTTTTTTTTTTTTTTTTTTTTTTTTTTTTTTTTTTTTTTTTTTTTTTTGTGACTCGTCTGCATCTTTCGGTATCCAACTCCAACCAGTCTGTATTTAAAGAGCTAATGGTAATGGGTGTACCAACTGAGCTAGGCAGGGAAAAATTACATACCAACTGTCCTTCGGGACATCCCTTAAAATTGGAACGATACAGAGACTGAAGATTAGCATGGCCCCTGGGCAAGGATGACACGCATAAATGGAGAAATGGTCCAATTTAAAAAAAAAAAAAAAAAAAAAAAAAAAACCATACCAATGATAACGAACAACAAAAGCATACGATTACTAGCAATGCCCAGATTTCTGTAGCCACGTGTGTGGCCGGGGATAATTATTATTTATGCATGCGTCTATCGGATGCTCACTGCTCTTTCTTTTTGTCTTGGCCTGCAAACGACACGCCATTTTGTTGGGAGTGTTTTCGTGCGCATGACTAGTGCCCATGCCAGCCCTTGTGGCAATTGCTGTGGGCACGTATCAGGACTGTTTTGTCGGCATGATTATTACGCATGCACGTCGTTGTGGCCAATCTGGCGCTGAGAATGGTCACCTCCTGTCTTCCCCCCAATCGAACGTACGGTCACGCATGACCCGCCCCATCCCTACCGTTCATGTCCCCTCTGCCGTTAACAAGACAGACCGACACCTGTGTATTCGCTGATCCTTCCTCACTTCTACTCCCATCCCTACCGTTCATGTCCCCTCTGTAGTTAACGAGACATACCGACACTTGCGTCTTCGCTGATCCCTCCTCACTTCCACACCACACTCCTTACTTTCGGATGATCCCCTTTGTCTTCCTTTCAGTGTGCAAGTGGGGCCGTTAAACCGCCACCACTCTATCATCTCTGCTTCTCTCCTTCCCCACACTCCACACCTTTACTCTTCCCTGTTTTTCACAGTGTGGAAGCGGGCCATCAAGCCGCAACTCTATCCGACACCTAGAAATTGGCATCGGGTGAGTTAGGAAGAGGGGGGGTGGAAGGCGCAGGCGGGCCTTGTCTCACAATTTTCAAGCGCCAACTTTGGTGATCTTTTGCGCTCAGAAGAATTGATAAAAAAGAAACTGAAAATTTGAGATCCTGCGAGGCTGAACTTCCGGTCCCACCCGGGCCCCCTTCCCCCACCGGAACCGGTCCGGTAGTACCGGCCGGTGGACCGTGCCGGTTCCCCCGCGTGGCATTTCGCGCGAGTGGATCGCGGGGGGGTTTGAATTTTTTTTGGGGCCGGGAGGCCTCCATGCGGGTCGTGGAAGCCTCCCGGCCCCGAAAAAAAAAAAAACGGGCCCTGTAGGCCCGCCAGAAAGCTCAAAAACTGGCGGCCTATCTGGGCCGTCGATCTCGTGAGATCTGCGGCCCAGATAGGCCGCAGTTTTTGAACATTCGGG